TCATGTTCCTTCTTTCATTTTTTATTTTAATAATTTGAATTAATAATTAACAATGTACTTTTTAATTTGTTCATTATATCTAAGAGTTTGTCAGATTTTGATCTTTTCAAAGAGAGAACTTTTTGGCTTTATTAGTTTTCTCTATTGGTTTTTCTAGCCTATTGTGTGTTATTTTCTGTCCTAATCTTTATTATTTTCTTTATTATTTTTGTATATTCAATATCTTTAATTTAATATTATTTTTGATATAGTTAAATTTATCTGCTACTTTACTATTTTTAAAATATCTCATATCTTTTTATTACTCCATTTCTTTTTATTGCTTTTTGGTTTTAAGTAATTTTTTTAAAGTATATTTTATTGACCCCCTGTATCACTCTCTGCCCTGTACCCTCCCTCCCACCAGCATTACCTTCCCTTAGTTCATGTCCATGGGTCGTACATCTAAATTCTTTGGCTTCCCCATTTCCTGTACTGTTCTTAATCTTCCCTTGTATTCTTTGTACCTATGAAATATGCTTCTTATTCCCTGTGCCTTTTCTCCCAGTCAACCCCTCCCATTCCCCACTGATAACTCTCCATGTGATCTCCATTTATATGATTCTGTTCTTATTCTAGTTGTTTGCTTAGTCTGTTTTTGCTTTTTTTTCAGGTTTATTTGTTGATAGTTGTGTTTGTTGTCATTTTTCTGTTCATAGTTTTGATATTCTTTTTCTTAGATAAATCCTTTCAACATTTCATATAATAAGGGCTTGGTGGTGATGAATTCCTTTAACTTGACCTTATCTGGGAAGCACTTTCTCCGCCCTTCTATTCTAAATGATAACTTTGCTGGATAGAGTAATATTAGATGTAGGTCCTTGCCTTGCATGACTTTGAATATTTCTTTCCAGCCCCTTCTTACCTGTAAGGTTTCTTTGGAGAAATCAGCTAATAGTCTTATGGGAACTCTTTTGTAGGTAACTGTCTCTTTTCTCTTGCAGCTTTTAAGGTTCTTTTCTTATTTTTAATCTTGGGTTATGATGTGCCTTGGTGTGTTCCTCCTTGGATCCAACTTCTTTGAGACCCTCTGAGCTTCCCGGACTTCCTAGAAGTCTATTTCCTTTGCCAGATTGGGGAAGTTCTCCTTCATTATTTGTTCAGCTAAGTCTTCAATTTCTTGCTCTTCCTCCTCTCCTCCTGGCACCCCTATGATTTGGATGTTGGAACATTTAAAGTTGTCTCAGAGGTTCCTAAAACTCTCCTCATTTTCCTGAATTCTTGTTTCTTCATTCTGTTGTGGTTGAATGTTTATTTCTTCCTTCTCTTCCAAATTGTTGATTTGAGTCCCAGTTTCCTTCCCTTCACTGTTCCCTGTATATTTTTCCTTATTTCACTTTGCTTAGCTTTCACTTCTTCCTCTATTTTGTTTCCATACTCAGTCATTTCTGTGAGCATCCTGATTACCAGTGTTCTGAACTTGGCATCTGATAGGTTGGCTGTCTCCTCATCATTTAGTTATTTTTCTGGAGTTTTGATCCGTTACTTCATTTGGGCCATATTTACCCTGGCACTCCTGTTATGTTGTTAGGGGTAGAACCTTAGGTATTTGCCAGGGTGGGTCAACCCACCCTGTATCATGGTGCTGTATGTAGGGGAGGGGTCAGACAGGGAACAGTGCCACTTGTTTGCCTCTCATCCCACTGTTAGTAACTTCCTCCACTACCCACAAGCAAATTGGGCCCTTTTGGTACTGATTCCCTGGTGGGTGGGTTCGTATACCTTCTAGGACCCTGTGGGTCTCTCCAGTGAACTCTACTGTGAGGCTGTGAGTTTCTCCCACTGCTACAAGCTCCACAGGTTTTTACAGCAATAGATTTAAGGCTTCATTTCCTTTGCTGGAACTCTGGGTTGCATGCTCGGTCTTGCTCCCCAGTTGTTTCTCCCAACTTATCTACGTGTGGATGTGGGACTGCCTGGTTCGGCTGCTGCCTGGTCTGCCTGGTCTTCCAGCTTCTGCCTTGTCACTTGTCCTCTCCACCCCAGCTGCCCACCTCTGCCCTTCCTACCAGTCTGGGTGAATGTTTCTTTTTTTAATTCCTTGGATGTGAGACTTCCATACAGTTCCATATTCTGGCAGTTCTTGTTATTTTTTTGTTTTTAAATTTGTTGTCCTTCCTTTTGTTGTGCAAGGAAGCAAAGTGTATCTACCTGTGCCTCCACCTTGTCCAGAAGTCTTTTAGTAAATATATTCTAGTATAATATTTTAATTCTTTTACCATTTTAAAATAGTTATTTTATTCACTTCCTTAGCAGTTGTTCTAGAGCTTGACTTGTATATCTTAACTTAGAATGTACTTCAGATTTATACTAACTTGATTTCAGTGCAATGGAGAAATATTACTTTTATATCAAGGTCTATTTCCTCTCCTCTCTTTTCTCATGGTGTTATAATTATGTATACATAGAAAACATCTGTATATGTTAAAACTCAACAATATATTTTTATACTTATTAGTTTATGCAATTTTAAGTCATTTAAAGAGACTTAGAGTAGAAAGGAGAACAAATGTTATGTCAACCTTGCTACTAAATATTTTTCTGCGCTTTTTAAATTATTTGTTTTTCTTGATTTGAGTTACTATTTGGCATCATTTTCTTACTTCAGTAGAGCTTTACTGCTAGCCCTCCCTTTGTGTTCTTATTGTCATATACAGGAGTAGGCAAAAGTAAGGTTACAGTTGGTATGGAAACAAATATGCAGGTTATGATTATTTCAGTAGCCTTGTTAACTGCAAAGGAGGTCACCACAACTCTGAACCCCCTTTTGTCCGCCCCTGGTGTGTTATATTTTTTTCTAGATGTTATAAGCCCAACAATCCAATGATGTATGTCTTCTTTTAAAACAGTTGCTTTTCAAATGTATGAAGAAAAGAAAGGAGAAGAAATACGCATTCACACTTCATTTTGTAATGATATGAATGCCTTTGCCAGCTCTCTGGATCAGAAGAACTGACTGAAGACTAAACAGCTTCCTTTAGTAACTTGCCAGGGAGACATTTCCTTTAAGTTTGTGAGTGTATTTGTGAGGTTTTTCTAACATTGATAGTAGCCACTTTGAAGTCTTTCTTGCTCATTGGACACATGGGCCCTCTCAAAGGCTGTTCTGTTGTCTCTCTCTCTTTTTTCCTGTGTACGAGTCATACTTTCCTACTCGGTTGCATGTCATCATTGAACCGAGATCTTGATGTCCCTGCTCTCTGGGACTGTTGTAATTTTATTTGTTTAATAACATAGCTGAACTCTTTTAGCGAAGTCTCTTTCCTCCTCTAAATGCATCCTCTGGTGTTGCTCCTCCGAGGAGGCAGTCTGGGGACACACACAGTCGCCCTGGGAGGGCTGCAGTTTCAGCAGGGCTCCCGGACTTTTTCCTCTGACCTCTTTTTGCAACTTGTCTCTTTTGGCAAGGGACCTCTGCCCAGTGAAGACTCTTTGGCCCTGGTGTTCTTAGCCTTCTGAGCCTGGCATTTAGCTTCCACCCTATGAGTTAGAGGGAGAGCTCTAACACTTCTCACGCTTTCTCCTTGAGTGGAACTTCTGCCATCCAGAGCTGGGGGCGTGACAAGTCCTGGCAGTCTCCTGCTCCTGGTTAGACTTCAGTGGCCTGGACGAGGAGCTGAAGGATGGAGTTCTTGTTCTTGGCTTTGCATGCTTACTTGGGGTGAACTTCTGTGTTGCTGAACTGGGTGTACGGTGGGGGGAGACGGAGAAGGGGTAGGATGAGGGCAGGTAATGGGGTAGAAATCATGGACAGTTGCTGTTTTTACTAAAATTTAGTAGATATTCTTGAGTAAATGGTTATGGTTGCTCTTACTAAGAAATATTTAGACCCCAAATCATTGTTTTGTTTTTTTTTTAAAGAATTGTTACCAATTATAGCTCTTTCCCTGGGTAGAAATTTGTTGAACTCCTTATATTGCCATTCTGGAAGTCAGCTCCATATTCTTGAAGCATTAATTGGTATTCTAATCCATGGTTTTTGAGATACTATATATACCTTACTAACTTTATACATACTATATTTATATTCTGATTCTTTGTTAGTACCAGGAATTTATTTAGAAATTTACAAAATATTGATTCATATTGTCATGCACCTTTATCATGTATCGGTTTATTCAGGTGAAATATATTTGTGAGAATATATTGGTAGCATTTTATTTTCTCTCAGATACACTTTAATTAATTAAAAGAATATTTACATTATTTTTAATGTTTCTAAAAATGCATTGTGTTGTTTAGTTATACACAACATATGCATGCATCTCAAACATTCTTGAGCAACAGAATGTACAAATGAATACAAACTATGCAATTCCATTTTGTAAAATACAAAGACAGCAATACAAATCTTTGCTATTAAAACCAGAATAGTGGTAGTGTATATATTTTTAAATCTGAGTGCTGATTACTTAGTTGTGTTCATCCTGTGAGAATTTACTGAATTTTAGACATGATTCAGTGCACTTTTCTGTATGTTTTATTATACTTAAAAAGTTTACAAGTATATTATGGGATCCATATGAGTTATATAGTTTTAACTGAATATAGTTCCAGTAAATTTATTATATTTAACTTTTAATTTATTTTGATATATAAAACTGATGATATTGATCCTCTACTTTTAAGGATAATTATTTCCTACTTTTATAAATAAAAATAAAATTCAAAGTATAAATTATTATAAAAATCATTAACCATTATGTTTAATATTGTGTTTCATCAAAGCACTTTAAGGTACTATGAATCTGAAAATACTTTTCTTAAAATATGAAACTTAGAGGCAATATATATTTTTTAAATATTGAAGTTTAGAGGATGTTTATGTTGAAAATTAAGCATGTTATTTCACAATTCCAAGGAAAATTCTATATGCAAATTAGATCCTTTATATAATAGATATATAAAATTAGGGAGGTCTTTTTATCTTTTGTAATACATTTTTAAATTTTATCCTGTAGGACTATTTTGAAAGAAAGTGGGTTTGCCAGATACCTTCATTCAGCTGTTCTTATCAATGGAGCTATGCTTATTTTTGGAGGAAATACCCATAATGACACTTCCTTGAGTAACGGTGCAAAATGTTTTTCTGCCGATTTCCTGGCATATGACATAGGTATGTATCTGTTAGGATTGTACAAAGTAGGAAATATCAGAAATTTCTCATGTGGAGATTCTCAAATACATTACTTGACAGCATGTGTATATATCATTTTAGAGAGATTAATTCAGTGACAGATTGTGAGTGGAATTCTCTCTAAAGTCAGCATAGAGGTAGTATAAGTCCAGGAGAAGAAATGAACTGGGGTGACTCTGTGGTGGAGACAGGGGAATTGAGAAATCTGGGTGTGGACGTCTTTTTCGAGGGCTTTTGTAGAGGGTGACCCTACATGGACGCTATGTCAGTCTGTTTTGTTTGACTATTACCAATAGTTTTGATAATGGGTAGATATAGTGGACTATCAAATTATATAAATTATAAGTAGTAACACAAGCCTATTAGATATAGTGGGGATGAGTAAAGATGCATTTAAACTAAACTCACCAGATATACGTACTTGGTATAGAAAGCTAATAGAATTAGAGAAAGGAATATATTGATAGTGGAGCAAAAGAAATAAGATTTGGGACAAAATGCAAACTATAAGAACTAGGAATGGAAGTGATTAAATAATCTTTTGCAGAGAACCAAAAATACAGTGCATAGATAAAGTTTATTTAATTTTAATTATGCTACCTATAATCCTGTCAACTTCTGAATGAATATTAAATGAATATATTTATTGAAATACTAAATTTAGCTATGCAATGGACTATTATAGTGAAAACATTTTTCTTTGTACATCATAATATAGATAAAACCTGGCTGATATTTAGAATATATTTATTAGTACTTTAGAACACCTTTTATTGATGGTGTAAAGTAATCTACTAATTTTAAGCTATTAGTAATCATTTTGATAAGTAAAAATGAAAGAAACAAAAGAATAACACACTGAATAGATGTAAGAAGTATACTTTTGCTTTTCAATACCAAAAAGGCACATAACCTACTTAGGAAAATTATTTCAAGTGGTAGCATATAAAGAAAATTATGACTCTTAGTAAGCAATTTGATCTTCATACTATTAGAAATTTGTTGGGAAGAAAATTCCTAGTAATAAACCTAAGTATGCATCTTAGCTCTAAGTTATGGGTGTCTGTCCAGGACTCATCATTAATAAGAATTCACTATCTTTAGGATTATTAGGTCCTAAATAATTAGGTATTCACTTTTTGAAATAATAATTTGAAGTGGTGATTCATGACGAAGATGGGGTTATCTCGGCTATTAGAAGGCTTGTAACTCAGTGCCTGAGATCCAGAAAAATGGCTCCAGTGAAGCACTGGAGGAAGCCGGTTGCTGAGTGTTCACTGCCAGGCTGGGGCTCTCTACATGTACTTTTGCCCATGGTGATGAGGCAGTAGGTTTAGTTCTCTGGAGGTAGATGAAAGTTTTGTCTGTTTTTTTTATAAGAAAAAAAATATGCTGGGAAAGTATAGAATTTTGTTGTTATTGTTAAAAATCTATAAAGCGAGAGATTTTGAACTTTTAATTTTTGCAGATTTTTCCAGGAGCTTGCATCCAGTTTCTGTCCTTTAATGAAGGAATTAATATTGAGATATTTGTATAGCTTTCACATTAGGAATTTATTTGTATTTCTTGCCTATTCACAATGATCATATTTTAGGGTTTATGTGTCAAAAAAAAACTTACCGAGGTTAAAAAAAATAGAGGTGTTAGTTTCAGAGAGGTGGGGGGAGAGAAATATCAGATTGTCTTTATTCTAATTACTCTTTACTGTTTTCTAAGATGGCCAGATTTCCTATCAATGGCCACTGGTAGGACGCTGAGGGCTAGGGCTTTATACACAATATCTGTAAGCTCTCAAACAACCTTGTAATTAGCTGTCAATAAACTTATTTCCAGGATAGGAAGCAGGAGAGGGTGAAAAAAACTTGCCTAAAGCTTTGGGGCCAGTAAGCAGTGGATGTAGCTTCTGTAACTTCCAGCTCTTGCAGCAGTAGTCTTTCCACCTGAAGATGGTGCACTTTTGGGTCGGGTCCAACCTGTGTTCTTAATTTGGGCAACAAATTGCCAGATATATTATGTTTAATGATGTTTCTTAATTGTGTGGAAAGATAAAAGCAAACATCAGTTTCATTTTTCAAGCAAATGTTTAGATTGAAAGAAGGATGACATATTTTAAGTATCTTTGTATTTGAAAGGGTTTTTTAAAGAATTTTTTTGCCCTGTGTTAACACTAACAACAGAAACATAATCCAACCATACAATTCAACCTAGAATAAATGTTTTTTATTTTATCTCAGTTGATTATTTCTAGTCAGTTCCCAATAAAATTTCCCCCTAAAAATCTATGTTTATTCTTCTTGGTTTTGTAGCATCAAATGTTGGAATATTTTCCTGGAAGAGTATTTTTCATATTTCGGGAAATACTTTGCAAAATAATTGTATTCCTTATGCAGTATATTTTGTGGAAATAAAACACAATCATTGCATAATAAGCCAACCATAAAATAGATTTGTTCTGAAAAGAAAAAAGGCTGTGTTGCTAATTTTTCTCATTGGTACAGTGCTCTTTCATGGCATGTTTAACCGGAATGCACCCGAACACTTCCGCTGATTGCCTTGTGTTCTATTGTGTTTAAAAACATAGGACTATTTGTGCTAATACTATTTGTTTCATTGCTAAAAAATGTCCTATTTCAACCTTACTGCACGTAAATTTTAGTAGAAGTATCGTTAATCTTTGAGGATATAACCTTGCCTTCATAGCTCTCATTATACATGGTAGATACAGAGACACGTGATGGTGATTTCGAAACATGGCTGTGCCTTGGCATCCCTTTTGAAGGTTGTAGGAGGAAAAAAAAGTATGTAATTTGATTTTTCTTAGATTTAGTCACTGGGCACCTGCAGTTTTAAAACAATGACCTGAGTGCAATTCATACTAGAGCCATGGCTGGGGAATGAAATGATCGACTTCAATATATACTATGACATATTATTTAATGTTCTAGTTTGTAAATCGTCTTGAAGTCAGATTTTAAATCCGAAAACTATTGCTTTTTGTTATTGTTAGTGGTATTATTATTGTATCTGATTCAAGATTAAAATGATCTTTCTGGTAAAGATAACTTTCTAGTATATAATGAGGCTGAAGATACAATGGGAAAAGTGTATCTTACTGAGCTGATCTCGTGTTACTAGATGTACTTATACTTTGAAACTGTTCCGTGGCAGAAAGTGAATATTGTCATGGAAATTAGTTTCCTGGGGTGAGTCGGTGGGGAAAAAAGGAATCAGGAAGGTGTTTTTTTATGTCACTTGTTTCATAAGGTGATTTGACTAATGATTTCAGTATTGACAAGTGAGAGAGTTTTATGAATTGAAACACCTTAAAGTCAAAATTAATTTCGACATGATGTTTTAAAAGTATAATAAACTATGACCAAGTGCAATTTATTCTAGGAATTTAAGTATGATTGATTACCAGGGAATGTATAAATATAATTTATCACAAAGACTGTTTACTGAAGTCAATTCATTATCAAGAAATATAGAAATATAATGTATTACACAGAGACTACTTATTGAAAACCCCATAAAATCATTTCAATTAACTGAGAGTCAAACAGTAGTACCTGCTTTTCCTGGCAGAGAGTAGAAACTAAATAAGTATTTATTGAATGAATGCCAGGGACAGCATTCTGAGAGCAGCTATGGGGATGAATGAGGTAACTAGGAAAAATGTGTATCTTTTAGGATGTTTGGGAAGTTTTGACCTCGTGGGGGAAAAACCTGGTGAAACACCATCACTGAAGGGCTAGTGGGAAAAATTTTATAGACAGCACCCAAAATTTTGGTTTCTGGTACAAAGGTATTCAAATGCTTAAAGGGAGGTTTTCTTTATATTCGTCTACTTTTGAGTCTGGTCCACCCAACCTTTGTGTTCTTTTTAGTGTATTTCACGTATACAACTAAGACTGATTTATGAGCTAGTATTTCAAGTGGAAAATTAAAGGAATTTTTAAAATGTGTCCTTAAAGCATTGCAAATGTATATTTTCATGAAAAAAATGACTATTTGCAGGAAAATTTGCAAATGAATGTGCATTTTCCGCCTGTACTGTGTATGTGTCATTGATAAAGCAGTCTCTGAATGCCAGTGAAAATTCTTAATGTTAATTGTGAACTAGGTCAGTAGCCTGACAGCACGGTTTTCTGATTTCTGAAATTTGGGTTTCAGAAAACAGTAACAATTTTTTATCTTATGTGTACTTGAGCGTGTATCTTGTATGTTCATATTTAGTATATTGTAGCAGAGTTTTTAAAAGCAAATCTGTACTCCAGAGTGTATATTTTACTTTGTCCTGTATTCCTGGGTAGCTTTCCTGTTGGTATGAATGGTATTTCTGTCAGCTTTCAGGACGTCAACAGCTGTGTGGATTTGCTCTGATTTGTCTAGCCTTAAACTTTTTATGAAGTAATAATGACTTGAGTGCTCTGGAAATATATTTTCTTCTTGGCAAAAAACCCATAATTATTGACTGCAGTCAGATGAACAATGTAAGAGGCTTCACAATGTAAGAATGGGAATAGACTGCATGTAAACAAATTGTATTGATTCGATATTGAGCTTTAAGGCCTTTGACAAATTCTGCTTACAGGAAGATTGATCCCAGTTTTGTAGCGAATCCTAATCTAGAATGAGAAACACTCAGCAGCAGGCTTTACCTAGCCCCGCCTTCTGTTGAGTAGTTGTTGAAAAAGCTGGAAGGAATAAGTGGAAGGTCCGTTTGTAATAACTGCTCCTATCTTTTCCTTTCCCCATTCTGTTGCAAATCCCCGGCAGGTGGGCGAGTATCAGCACAAAACGCTCTGCCTGTAGACACACGGATTGCTTACCTCAGCTGGCTGTTCATAAGCTTGAAAGTGAAATTCTATTCTTCCTCAACAGTTTTATGAGTGAGAACAATTTGCCAGCTATTTTAAGAAACTGCAGAGGGAGATTTGCATTTATGGCATTGTAGCAGTCAGTACCAGTCAGGTTAG